CCATGTAAATCTCCTCATCGAGCTCGCCATACAGGAAGGCTGTTTTGATATCCATTGCCTCGATTTCCCAATCTTCGAGTGCGGCATGTGCGAGTAAGAAGCGTATAGCTTTATAGCATGCGACAGGAGAGAAGGTTTCCTGAAAATCTATCCCCTCTATCTGTGTGAATTCTTTAGCCACAAGACGTGCCTTATAACAGCCATCGGGCTTGATCACATAAACCCATTTGCATTTTACAATTCTCCGGTTGTTCGGTCTGTTGACCAGAATCCATGTGGAATTCTTCTCCTGAGACTTGAGTTCCTCCTTCATCGTGATCTCCCACTGTTTCGCATCTGGGCAAGACATTGCCTCGCGGTACGTAGTGGGGTCAGATTGGTGTGCATGACGTATCCATTGGAATAAATTCCGACGGAGTTGATTGTCGACGTCCATGGGAGAGTTTTCACATCGTTCACGTGCTTCTCGTTCCTGCTGACGCCATGTTTCTGTGGGCGGGACGTCTCCATAGCTGTTGTCGGGAACATGGCGTTGGCCTGCATTCTCACGCTGTGGCCTGGCCTGATGTGGCACAGGTTGTGGTTTGAGATTCCATTGTTGCCTAATATCAGGAGCAGGTGGTGCTGCCTGACGAGATGGACTGGCTTGTCTGCTCTGACAAGGACGATAATGTTCTCTCTGAGGTGGAGGTGATTCAGGAGGTGGACCGGGAGCAAATGGTATCTCCGGATGTTCATATGGTTCCGGAGTTGGGCTTTGATATTATTCATAACGATCAGCTGAATCGTCATTGATTTCATCATCATCCTGTTGTTGCAGTTTGTCTTACCGCGGTTGTGGATGTGCGTTGTCTGGGGATTGATTATCAGGTGTGAGGTTATCTGGACTGGTAAGGTCCGGGTTTGGCAGGTCGGGTTGGACAGGTGGAATTGGATCTTGAGACGCGTCAGGCTCACGAGGCCTTTCATCTCGCTTTGGAAAGGAAGACTCATCGAAGGTGACGTCGCGTGACACAACGATGGTCTGGGCAGTTGGATCCCAGAATCGGTAACCCTTTGTACCATTTTCGTACCCGACGAAGATCATGACTTTAGCCTTTGGCTGTAGCTTATTGATTCTCACATCCTTATGTGTGTGGACATAGGCTTTGCAGCTCCATACTCGAAAGTACGATACGTCCGGAACTGTGCTGTTCCATTTAGTGATGGGTGGCTTCCATTGATGATGGTGCAGAGGTTGTTGATTGTAGATGTGTACTGCAGTTTCTGATGCTAGCTTCCAGAACCCAGATGTCATGCCAGCATGATGTCACATAGCTTCTGCCTTATTCTGAATGGTCTGTTGCCAGCATTCTGCTCTGCCGTTCTGTTGTGGTGTTCGCGCCACTGAGAGTTGACGCTCTATTCCACGTTCTGCTAGGAAATCGTCAAATTTGCGGCCTAAAAACTCCCCCCCACGGTCTGAACGTATAGCCTTGAGCTTGCGCTCGGCCTGTGTTTCCGCCCAAGCGACAAATTGCTTGAAGGCAGAGAAGGCATCAGACTTCTGTTTCAGATACCAGACTAAACCAAATGAAGAATGGTCATCGAGGGTGGTCAGGGCAAACTTGTACCTGTCGAGTGATAACGACGGATATTCAACAAGATCCATGTGAATTAAGTCGAGGGGATGATCCGCACAACTGTCAGATGCAGGAAATGCATCGCGACGAGACTTCCCGAATTCGCATCCATCACAGGGAGTATCTCTGGTTGGAGCTGAGATCTTATCCGGGACGCCTTTAACATTGCCAGGTAGTTGAACAACTGATTTCTTCCCAGCGTGTCCGAAGCGACGGTGCCACAAAGTATATGGATCGTCGGATTTGACCGACATTAATGTTTCTGGCTTAATCTTGCTGGTCCTTGTGAGGACTTCAGCTTCTAGCCAATATAAACCTGACAGCTTTTCATATTCGCCCTCCATTAAAACTGTCCGCTTTGTTGGGTCTGACCCACGGAGTAATTTAAACTTCTTGCCATCCATCTCAATACGGTGACCGTTATTGAGAGGCATTCTGGGCGCAAAGAACCGTTCTGCTGCTTCCGGTACGTATAGTACGGTTTCTAACCGGATATGCTGTATTCGTCCATCTGTAAGACGATGTTGCAGAGTGATTTCACTGCGACCTTTGATTTCGATAGTCTGACCTTTGCCGTCCGTGTGTGCGTGACCTAGCTTAGGGAATTCATGTTACCAAATAAAGTCAGTTTTGTACGGTGTGACATGGGTCGTGCAACCGCTGTCAATCATCCACTTAGACTTGACACCCGTAGCATAAAGAGAAACAGAGATGGATTCTTCCTCGATCTTTGCTACTAGTGGTACATCGACAAGTCTAATAGTATTTACTGTCTGAGTGGTAGTTGTGGTATTGTCCTTCGCTTTGCCCTTTCCTTTTCCCTTCTTGCGCTTTCCGCCACCCTGCTGCTGCTGCTGCGTGTTGTTGCCGTTACTGGAACTCGAGCCAGCATTCGCCGGCTTTGTGTTCCAGTGCTGCTCCGTTGTGTGATTCTTGCGACCACACTTCTCACATTTCTTGTCAAGGAGAGGCGCCTTCGAGACGCGTGCAATCTGAGTGCAGTTTGCAACGCGGCACTGTTCCTCCTTGACGATCTTGGGCTTGATGAGCGCTGCTGTGAGCAGCGTAACATTGGTCTGCATGGTGAGAATTGTACCAGCGATGGTCTGGTACAACTTGGGGAGAGCATTGATCATGAGCAAGGCAAGAAGCTGAGGTTTGACCTCTATTTCTGCCGCTGTCGTAAAGAAAAGGTTAGGATAAGAAAAGTAAGTAAAAAATAAAAATGAGGTTTGGTATAAAGAAGATTCTAGGAGAAATCCTAGAAGGCTACTTTTTAATAAAAGAGAATGGAGTTTGGTCTGTTCTAAACTAGAAGCAAGAAGGGTATAGTATGGAATACTTAGATTTGGTTTTCCCAATCTTTTCTTTCCAGGGTTCACTGGGTTAGCCTTTCAACCAAGCTATCCTGGTGTTCGTGGGGGACTAATTCAAAGACCACCTACTAATCTGCTTAAGTACTCTAAAGCCTCACTTGCCTGTTTACAAGGGACTTTTTAAGGAATCTTAGAAGATGGGCTGTAAGGAGGTTTGGTTAGTAGCTTAAGGACTAGCTACTTGGGTTAGTAGAATAGGGTTTTTAGATAAGTAAGATAAGAGGGTATCAAAGTCAACTTAATGTCTTGGTTAACTTAGTAAGCTTTGGCTAGTAAGGACAATTTAATGTCCTTAGAGGATTTGTATAACTTGAAGCAGTCTGAAGCTTCCAATTTAGAGTTGAAGATCAAGAATAGAATTAATCTCTTTACTGCTAGTCTAATTACTGTAAGCTCTACAGGAGACGTACCACAGTCTCAAATAATGACGCCACTAGCTCTCGCAGTCTAGGGTTAGTCAAATAGTGAACTCGTGCACTATACCAAGGGCGTTTCCCTTCAGGTTATTTGAAAGTCAGAGGCTCTACTGTGCTTAAGGAATTTCCTAGGCTTTAAAGAAAGGAGTTTATTCTCTGAGAGCTAAAGAGCTCAGGGGATTAACTGCAGGTTTGCTGCTAGCTAAATCCTTGAGAGTGTGTGTGGTGCTTGGTGGGTTGGTGTGTTCGTGTCCCTCAGAGAACCTCTCCTATTTATACCTTTTAGCCTGTTGTTCCTTAGCCAATAGCAAAACTGGCTCTTCTATTCTACTATAATTACTAAGCTACTTCTACTTTTATTAATAAGCATTTT